AAACTGGAACAGGTTAAGACCTCCTTGAACACTTGAGGGACTGGGTCTTTTTGCTTCAAAAGACAGTCTCGCAGTCATGTGTTCTCTGGAGAATTCTGCCTGCAACCGTTTCTTTTTCACATCTGCTGCAGCTCCAGTGTTCTTCACCTTTCCTGGAATGGAAAATTTCCTAATTCCTTAGTGTCTTTCTGAATTTTCAACACCAATTCATAGCAGTAACTGAAGAAATTGTATTAGCCTGAGATTTTGTTTTGAGTTAAGGTTTTTCATTAGCTGAGAAATAGCAGAGGAGAGTTTGCTATTTCCATTTTGGACTCTTGTAAGAAAATGCAAATGGGTGAAAATTTATTATGTTTCGTTTTGAACGATTACCTTTACTTCTCCTTTTGCTGGCAGATTATTTGGATTCTATTAAAGCCCTTTTGGTTCGTAATTTTCTTAATATGATGTGAGGGATGCGTAATACATCCCTTATCACTGACTTGCATGTGCGACATGACTTATATACCAAAGCCCAGTACAATTTAGTACTTATTTCATGTCTTTTGCCATAGTTTTCATTGGTTAAATAAGAACCGCCTAAGCAGATAACACCCATCCGAGAATGTTATCATACTAAAGTCTCCCTTAGTATAGCATGTTTTGCACATGGGTAAAGTGTTCCTTTGCTCTTTCCACTATCCCCTAATTTTTTTCTACAGTATACATTTAGGGCTGTGTCTCAGCAACGTTTTCTCTCATGGCAAAGTTATGAGATTTGTTAATTTTGTTTTTTTGTTTTGAAATCCTTGTTTTGTGAGAGTTTGATGTATAGTATATCTTATTGGCTTCTGTAAATGACTAGATTTATTGCTATAGATATAAGAAATTCTGGCAACTTTGTATAACTTCTTTAAAGCATGCATGCTTTTTTTTTTTTTTTTCCTCCTGAGAAAGTCTTTGTGGAGTTGGTTATGGAGTTGAATTAGAAGCTTGTAGAAAACGTGGTTTGGAGAACGTGGTTCTCTATCTTGTATGGATCTGCTGGTGGAAGGGTGAACTATGGTCCTGAACAAAATGTGCTTTCCAGCTTTCCTCACTGAGTTAGCAAAGCCTTCTCCCAGAATGCTTTGCCCTCGAGCTTTCTACTGCTCTGACTTTAATGGCATGACTGTTTCTACGTTGATATTAGAGAAATTCACATCAATATCTAGGTTAATGTTTGATAGAGGGCAGTTGGCTTTTCATTCTGAATTGCTTGAAATCACCTGTCTCTGACAATACTGTTTGGCAGTTTTTCATATTTCTTTTAAATTTTAATTATAACCCATCAAGTCTTAAGCAGTTACTTCTGGGTTAGACTCTTGATGAATGTCATAGCAGGGTGTTTTAATTTAATGGATCCAGAGTAACATCTGTTTCTAATATTTTAAAAGCCAATTTATATGGAAATTCATTTAATACACAGTCAATACACGGAGACTTGTAAAAATAAAAATAAATATGGAAAATCAAACCACTGTGATATAGTAGGTCTTCTGTTAACAAAGGATTTCATGATGGCTAGGTTTAGCTGCTACCACCTAACGCCCAAAACATCACAGCTTAAATAAGATAGCGATTTATTTCTCAGACACACAAAATGGGGAGGTAGTTAGCTTAGAGCTGGTACGGTCTACAATATTAGGAACTCAGTTTCTTCAGTCTTATTGCTGTGCTCTGCGGGGCATGACTTCTGTTCCTAAGAATTCCTTATGGCCCAAGATGGCTGCTGGAACTCCTGCTATTATGTCTGTGCTTCAGCAAGAGCAAGGAGGAGTGGTGGAGGGAGGGAATAATGCTAAGCTTTTTTCTTTTAAGGAACTTTTCTAGAAGTAGTCTGTAGCATTCCGCTTGTGTTGCACTGGCCAAAAAAAAGTCATATGATCGTATTTAGCAGCAAGGGAAGATAGGAAATGAAATTTTTTTTTCAGATGACTGTGTACCCAGCTGAAAACTAAAAGATCTGTGAGCATGGGAAAAGGGGAGAACAGATATTGGAGAACAGCTATCTGTGCCACACTGAGTATTTTTGAAGATACGATTTTAATAGACCTTTCACCTCTTATTGAGCATCTAGAAAAGTCAGCTAGTTCTCTTGAATAAATAACATATGTAGAAGGACTAGCATGGTGTTTGGCTCAAAAAATATAATCATGACTACTCTTGATAGGTTTTAATTCTAACCCCTAACTGCATCTAATTTCAGAGACTGTGAGTCAAGCTGACTTTAATAAGGGAGTTTTTGAACATTGTACTCCAGTCTTTATAGAATAATAACAACAACAGCTCACAGAGCCCAGATGTTATTGGCACCAGGTCTCCAGAACACTCAGGTATTGGCAAAGCAGTGTTCTTTGCTTCTCTATATAGAAGATAAAGGAGCAATTACGAGTGTTTGTTAACTGTTTTCAATGTAAAACTATTATTCTTACAGAAACTAAAGCTCAGAGAGGGGAACTGGGAAGCAATTTAAAGAAGCAGTTTAAAATGAGGATTGCCCCATCATTTTACCCCAACTGGAGCACTAACTTATTTTCTGACTGTGTCACCTTGGATGGGTTTCTTTAATCTGTTTGAATCTCTTGCCTTTTCCTGTTTTTGGAGCTACTCAGGTAAATTACAGAGCATGTTTCCCCTCAATCCAGGGCTTTTCCAACCTGGTTTTTGGTAATATTCATGTAGAAATTCCTTTGACCATACCTGCCTCACAGTGAAAGGCCAAACTGATGGAGAGGCTAGATGTGGCTTTCTATAATATTTTCTTCAGCTACACAAATGCCCACACCCCTTCCAAAGCCCTGACATCACACCAGGCAAGAGGCTTCTAATAATGGAATACGTATCTTGACCATCTCATTTCTCTGTCCTTCTAACTCATGTGCCTCTGTTGGTGTTCTGTAAGTACGGAGATGGAGTAGGGATACAAAACGTTCAAGATGCCACCCTGTTCTCTGGATGGTAAAATGGCGTAGAGCAGGAATTCTCCAGACTGAACCATTTACAGACCAACATTTGTACCTTGTCACATATGCCAGTACCTTTGGTTCCCTAGTATTTGTCTTTACGTTGACTTTTTAATTTTTAACAGCTTCATTCTGAGCAAACATCTATGAAATCCAGCTTCGATTTGATAATTAAATTGCCTTTCAAATACACATTAAAATAAATCTAACCATTAAAATTTTTACTCGGTTTGCCTGTGTAGCTTCTCACATACTTGCAGTGGTAGGTAGATCACAGCTTGGGAAGCGCAACTGAGTGGAAAAAGCAAGGGTCATGTAACTCTACCCTGCTGTTTCCAGCTGTGTGACTTTGCAACTATTACTGATGAATCATTCTTAACTATCATTTGCTCACTTGAGAGATGGAGATAATATGTACCTCATCCTTTACTCTAAGGATTAAACAAGATATAGCCAAGGAAACTGTTACAGTGCTTGGCAGAGAGCAAGTTCTCAGCGAATACCGGCTTATTCTTTCTTAAAGTCTGTTTGGAGATACGAGGCATGCAGGCCTGGAATACCAGTTCTCAGAAGCAGGACACAAGGCACTTGGTATAGATGATTGCAAGTCCTGTGAAAACTCAGAGGGAGAAAGGCTGAAGTTTTCTAGAATGAAGAAGAAAGGGAAACATTTGGATGAGGGGAGAGGCATTCTTCCTCGCCTCTCTAGCCCTCCCTTGCTACTCAAAGTGTGGCCCAAGGACCCATAGCATCAGCATCACCTGGGAGCTTGTTAAAACTGTGGCATCTCTGGCTACTCCCCAGGCCTACTGATTCAGCACCTGTCTGTTAAGATCCCCCAGTGATTTATGTGTGTGAGAAGCGGTGCTCTGGGCACAGATATTCTACCTAAGGCCTATTTCTTTTCTAGTAGGGAGCGAGTCCTTGCTCTAAGCAGATCTTTGCACCAGGATCACTTAGTAACACCTGCACTGCGCTTTTTAGAAAATACAGATTCTCAGATCTCACATCAACCTGTGCCTGGAATCTGTATCTTTAGCCCATCCAACCCCATGATTTTTTAAATTTTTAATTTTTTAATACTACGCCAGTTGTTTGACAACTGCCTTAGTAAGTCTTAAACCTTCCTTAGAAACTGCATTTATTCCCCAAACCTATTTGCATTTGAACAAATAAGAAAGCTTTTGAGGAAGAGAGTTACAAGCCTAATTGTAGTGTTAGTAAACATTAAAGGGAGGGTCTGTATTCAATCTATATGTAAAGGCTTCCATAAGGCTCATTTGCATTAATCCTGCATACTTGGAATCCCATCATCCACAGGATAACAGCTTCCCAGAAGGCAATGTCTTAGCAATGTCATTCACATTTGACCCTTGAACAACAAAGGTTTGAATTTCATGGGTCCACTTATACATAGATTTTTTTTTCAATAAATACAGTACTGTAAATGCATTTCCCTTCTGTATGATTTCCTTTTTTTCTTTTTCTTTTTTTAATGTTTTATTTATTTCTGAGACAGAGAGAGAAGGAGAGAGAGAGAAACAGAGACAGAGACAGTGTGAGCAGGGGAGAGTCAGAGAGAGAAAGAGGGAGACACAGAATCTGAAACAGGCTCCAGGCTCTGAGTTGGCTGTCAGCACAGAGCCCAACGTGGGGCTCGAACCCACAAAATGTGAGATCATGACCTGAGCCGAAGTCAGACGCTTAACCGACTGAGCCAGCCAGGCGCCCCTGTATGATTTTCTTCATGATGTTTTCTCTAGCTTACCTTACTCTAAGACTACAGTATTTAATACATATAACATACAAAATATGTGTTAATCGACTGTGTTATTGGTTAGACTTCTGGTTGACGGTAGACAATTAAATTTTGGGGGAGTCAGAAGTTATGCTTGGATTTTCAACTGAATGAAGGTTGGCACCCCTAACTGCCACGTGGGACAAGAGTCAACTGTATTTTCTTATTTTTCCGGAAGTTTGTATTTGATTTTTTTTTGTAAACATTTTGTTTTTTAGCCGCGCTATCAAGACTAATCAAGACCTCCTCCCAGAAACTCCCTGGACACACATTTTCTACAATGATTTTTGGGGGACTCTTCTCACCCATAGCGGCAGCCACAAATCCTACCGGCCACTCTGCACCCTTTCTTTTCGCTTAAACCATGCCATCGGAGGGCTGAATCCCTGGAGCTATCACCTCGTCAATGTCCTGCTGCATGCAGCAGTCACTGGCGTCTTCACCAGCTTCTCCAAGATACTGCTTGGGGACGGTTACTGGACCTTCATGGCTGGCTTGATGTTTGCCTCTCACCCCATCCACACGGAGGCCGTGGCAGGAATCGTGGGACGGGCCGATGTCGGGGCCAGTCTCTTCTTTCTCCTCTCCTTGCTCTGCTACATTAAACACTGTTCTACAAGAGGCTCTTCGGCCAGGACTTGGGGCTGGTTCCTGGGGACAGGACTGTGCGCAGGATGCAGCATGCTGTGGAAGGAACAAGGAGTGACCGTGCTGGCTGTGTCGGCAGTTTATGATGTCTTTGTCTTTCACAGGCTGAAAATAAAGCAGATCCTACCTACCATCTACAAAGTAAGTGATTGTGGGCGTGGGGGCATTGGGTTACTGAGCAGTCTCCTTGCCCGGTCCTTTTTCCCCGTTTAGAGAGCAAATTTGTTCCTCTTCAAAGAGAATTTAAAATAAGCTCCGTTTTGATCTTCAGTAAGTGGAAGTGTCCTTTTTGACCTTTCCCTACTAACAGGGGTTTCATTCCTTGATTATTTTATTTCTTGGGTTTCTTATTTTCATGATTTCAAAGAGCTCTGGGAGCGGGACAGTTTTGCCTTATAAAGATTATGCACCTTTACTATTTATTTTTATTTTTTTTATTTCAGCCCCAATTCTCTGTAATCCAGTAAATTGCTTATAATGTGTATTTATAAAAGTATCAGAGCTGATAATAGAGCCAGATGCTAAACTCCATAGAGGGGAAATCCTCTGCCATTTGTTAATAGTGCTTTTCCTGATCTGACTTTGGAAAACAGCCCTTCTCTGCAGTGCACTGGGAGCTCAAATTCTTAAACAATGAATCATCTTCACCTCTTCCTTGTTGTAGTGAATAAGAATAGAAGAGTCAAAACAGAAAGGAGTTATTATAAATTTTGCCCTGAGGGCAATTAAGACCTTTGCCTCAGGGCTTAATGCAGTGTGATTTAAAGGTCACAGAAGCACTTTCAGATCCCATACACCTAAGAGAACCAGTTTTTGGCTAGTGTGTTACTACGGAAAGGCACTGGGCAGACAAAGGCATCTTGAGAAGCTTCCTCTTTCCCATATCCCTATTCTCTCATTCATAATAAACTTACCCTTGCTTGCTTTGCCTTTTAGAATAAAGGATGCACTTGGCCAATGCTTGCATATCTTGGTCATGTTCTAGGTCAGCTCCTCCTTTCTTTTGGACTCTTAAGTGAGGAGCTGTGATTTGGATACTTACCTTGAGAAAGCTGTTAACTCTTCTAGTTTTGGCTACTTCTTCCCCCTCACCCTCTCAATTCTTAATTTTATTTAAAATCAAATTGGGATGAAATTGAAGTGAAAAAAATAAAGGAAAAAACATTTATTTATTTTTTAATGACTATTTTTTATTTCACTTAGTAGGCAGAGTAATTACTGCTGTGCTCAGTGCTCTGTGGGGAAGCATAATCTTTTCAGTTAGAACTCAAGATCAAGTACTTAATGAAGTTCTTTTATGATTTCAATTATATGCTGAAACTTTAAAAGAAAACTGGTTAGAAGTTTGATGCCTAAAAACAACACAATTTGAAAGTCAAACTCTTAATTTCAAATCAATTTTAATTATTCTTTCAGGGAGATTTAGGGAGCGAAATCTTTTTTTTTTTAAAACCACATCAACAACAATAGCAAGCTTTCTTGTTTCATTGGAAATAGAAATAGAATACGTATAAATCCTGGTATTTGCCCTGTGGAGAGTGACACCTATTTGAGGACGAAGACACTGGGTATTTCAAGACTTCACATTGATAGGCTGTGAAACATTGTGCTTGGACATTCTTCAGAATTTCCATTTTACTGTCTCATGAAATAAGAAATGACTTTGATATATCAGTTCAGGACTTGCTTTTAGGACCCTTTGAAGTTCTAAGAAATTTTCTAAGCATTCAAGGACAGAGTTGCCGATAGAAATCCTTATCATAATTGTGTCCCATACGATATTTGGGACATACCCATAATAATAAGTTATTCTTTATCCTAATTTTTTATGTTTACTTATTTTTGAAGGAGATCTGTCACAATATAGACAGATTGTGAGTGGGGAAGGGGCAGAGAGAAAGGGAGACACAGAATCTGAAGCAGGCTCCAGGGTCTGAGCTGTCAGCACAGATCCCCACATGGGGCTTGAATCCAGGAACCGTGAGATCATGACCTGAACTGCAGTAAGATGCTTAACGGTGCACCAGCCCCAGGTGCCCCTGAAGTTAAATTTTAAAAAAATTAAGTTTATTTATTTATTTTGAGTGAGAGAGGGAGTGAGCTGGGGAGGGGCAGAGAGAGAGGGAGAGAGAGACTCCCATGCAGGTTCTGTGCTATCAGCAAGAGCTAGATGCAGGGCTTGAACTCAGGAACTACTGTACCACCATGAGATTGTGACCTGAACTGAAGCAAAGAGTCAGACTCTTAACTACCTGAGCCCCCCAGGCACCCTTATCTGAAGTTAAATTTTCACTGGGCATCCTGCTGAAGAAAATAAGAAATGTCACTAGCAAAGGAACTGCTAGCAGCAGAGAGTGTGAAGCACCCCCGTGTCATGGGAAAGGACTTAATGCTTTGAAGATTGGGTGTCCTGAGAAGTTTCCAAATGGAAAGTTGCCTAGACTGTCTGGCAGCCATTGCTGGTGGGCAAGGAAGTAGTTGAAGCAGCAAAACAATCTGAGAGCTGCTATCTCAACCCCGCTTTTTCTTTCATTCTCAGATTTTGGGCAAATGAGCTTAATGAGAACATTTCAGTAACAGATTGTATAGATTTGCAAGGGACCATAGAGACCAGCTATGCCAATCCCTTTATTTCCAGCAAAGGAATAGAACACCAGAGGTGTGAAGATCGCCTAGAAAATGGTAGAATCATTGGAACTAGGATACCTATTTGTGTGTGTTTAGCGATCATTTTACTATATCGTGAAGATGTGAAGATGAATGAACAGATATAAAGTCAGAGGACTTACCTAGAAGAAAATAACATAGAATCAAATATTAACTCACACTGGCCGAGTAACCTTGAGCTAGTTCAATGACCTGTTTCATTATCTGGGAATGGAGACTGTTCATGTTCTGTCTTAGAGATGTTGTGAAGAATATATGAAATTGTGGTATGTTCAGTGTGAGCTGGGTGCCCAGTATTTGGAAGGCACCTGATGCATATTAGTTGAAGAGAGAGAATAAATATCAGTGGAAATTGTAATTCTTTATTTTAAGGAAGAGAAAGCCAAAAGATAAACTTCTATTTGTCTTTGAACATACAGTGGTTTTTTGAAAGCATATGACTTAGGAATCGACTAAGGCCGAAGCATGAATATTTAAGCAAAAACTTTCATTTAGAATTTTATGACTATGGGGCTTGTAAACACTAGCATAGATTACATATGGAAGTTATAGAAAATTCCATATTCTGTCTTTATAATATATAGATTTCTATGCCTGGGGTGAGTTAGAAGAGACTCTGAAGGAAGTGAATTAAAAGACTTTAGAAGGTCCTTTTCAACCTTAAAAGAATAAATCATCTTAAATATCTTGCCAATTAACTCCGCATCATGGTTTGCCAGATGAAATAAACTTCCCTGCCCTATTAAAACATAACTTTTATATAAACAGAAAGCTCCAGTGCACAAATGTTTAACTCTGTTATGCAAACCAATGAACCAGCCAAGTACTCAAAACCCAAAATGGCAGACCTCTTAAAGCTGGAAATTATTAGGACCAGAGGGGCAAGGCTCTCTGTTTTCATAGTTTCATCAGTAATGTTTTTCTCATAACAGTCACATTCAACTTCTTTCTTCACAGTGTTGATTTCAGTTCTGCACCTCTTAAAAAAAGATTTTGGGCCCCAAACTCAAATGTACACCAGGGCCAAGCAGAAGGGACTTGTGGAAGCAAGATTCTGCCCATCTCTAGGACTCCTCTTCATCCAGTTTTACAATAAGAAAATACTAGTTTAGGTTTGGTAGAGTTTGAGATTTTTCCCTTTCCCTTCCTTTCCTTTCTGAGAGAGAGAATGAGAGAGAATGCATACAGGTGAGCTGGGGAGGGGCAGAGGTAATGGGAGAGAGAAAATCTTAAGCAGGCTTAAGCAGGCTCCTTACCCAGTGTGGAGCCCGATGTAGGACTGGATCTCATGGCTGTGAGATCATGACCTGAGTGGAAACCAAGGGTGGGACACTTAACTGACTGAACTACCCAGGTGCCCCATTTTTGAGATTTTTCTAAGAAGATAAACCTCTAGATTTTTCTGTGACATTTCTTATTATTTAAAATCAATTACTAATTTAAAAACAAATAAACCCTGTTTAGGCCCAACAAAATCCTTTGGATGGCTGAATTTGGCCAGAATTCTTGGCTGCCATTTTTTGACTTCTAAGGCTCATGCAGGTGATGCACATGTCTATACTGTATAAAAGACTTGCAGTTCTGCAAAGGAAATATGAAAGTTTTCTTTTTCTTTGAAGTATGTGAAAAATAGTACAGACCTAGCATATTGTAGATATTTTATTTAGCATTTAATAAATAATCTTCATATGTGCTAGGCACTATTCTGAGTATGCTAAGACATAAACACATTTAACTTCTATAGTAAGTGCTTGTTGAGAGAATATGACTTATGAACTAATATGGTTGGATATGACATGAAATAATATAATACAGTTGTCAATAATTAAGATTTGTTTTTTGTTTTTGTTTTTAACATTTATTTATTTTTTTTGAGAGACAGTGAGTGGGTTCAAGGGAGGGGCAGATAGAGAGGGAGTCACAGAATCCAAAGCAGGCTCCAGGCTCTGAGCTGTCAGCACGGAGCCTGATGTGGGGCTCGAACTCATAAACCATGAGACCATGATCTGAGCCAAAGTCAGACACTTAACCGACTGAGCCACCCAGGCGCCCCTTGTTTTTGTTTTTAATAGTTAGCAAGATTTGTAAGAAAACACCAAATATAAAATCTTTAGAAGTGTGTATGAACAAAATGAGTGTTCATAACCATCTTAATTTTTTTAATGTTCCTATTCTTAGCTTCAGCATTCTGTTTAAGGTATTTCTACATTATCCTTGGCATCTAGTGCACTATCTGACACATGGTAGGTACTCAGTAAATTATTAAATTCACACTTGTTTCAGAACTGCCTTTGAAAAATATGTGCCTGAAATATTAAAGTGAAATCCTATCCTTTTCCCTTTATACAAATGAGGATTTCATTCCTGGTTAGTGGGGTCTGGAAGGTAGAATTAGAAGAAATGCATGTCTGAAAAATGTTGAAAAGTAAGTTTTTTTGACTTCTCATCAAGTGATTGTATTAGCCTTTCTTAGA